AAACCTTCACAGTGTTTTTGCTGTGAAGGTTCGACTTTTTTTAAACCTTCACAGGGTTTTTGCTGTGAAGGTTACGTGTAAAAATGTGGTCTCACGAAAACAGGCTGGTCTTACGTGAACTCAACCCTATATATATATATATATATATATATATATATATCAAAATAAGGTCAAATCATACATCGAAAATATTAAAAGTAAGTCTTGGTATACGTAAGAAGGAAATTAGTTGGTAGATTTGCATTTAACCTACCCCTAATGAATATAATATTAAGTTTTGCTTCTTCTTTTTTAGATTTGCATGTATTGTTTTCGATATTTGTTAGCCTTATGAGGTATACTTGTAAATAACCTGAACCCTGAACCATGAATCATAGCCTCATAAGGTATGCTTTCGATAGTCATTCGGATCAAGCATTAAATAGTTGTCATATATAAAAAAAAGACTTATCTTGTGCATATTGGATGCTCGTTCTAGAGTTTCCAGAACTTTTTCTCAAGCACGAGGTTTTCAGGAAAATAACCTCTTTATTCTTTGTAGTAGAGGAAATATATGTGTATATTCAGATAGATTGTTTTTATGCGATAAAACAGGAAATCTCATTACTAGTTATGTTATCACATAGAAATGGGCAAAAGCCGATTATGACTTATCCTGGTCAAAAGGTGTCATAGGTTACAACATAATCAGACACAGAGACAACTGTAAAATGATGTTAACAACCATACCAAGAAACACCAAAGGGTCTTTGGCCTAGCAGTATGTGAGTCTTTATCCTCCTACGAGGTCAATGGTTCAAACCTCACCAAAGATGAGGAGGGTGTGTGAGTTTATTTGTCTATTTGTTGTATATAAATACTATATACTTCCAGGAAAAAAAACACATACCAAGAAACTCACTTGATTTCTTGAAAATTAAGTTTCTATCTCTCAATTATTAGAGTCTCGTATTAGTTAGACTTGTTATCTATATTATATTATAAAACATTTGACAAAAACTTTTAAAAACCATTTTTTATGCGTAAAATACTGTTTTTGATGTATATTACTTAAAACTCAAGATTACAAGTAGATTGTGCGTAAGTACAACTTATTAAAATTCCAAGTCTGAATTCGTGTAATTAACTGCAGATAAACATAATCAAATACAGGATAAACATCTCATTTTAAATATAAAAAATCTAAAATATAATTAGGATAATCATTAAGTTCTAACAAAATATTTAATTATTATTTTTATAAAATGTTATATTATT